GTCCTTAGTAGACTTTTTTTCACATAATTTGTCCCTCCAATAATCAAAAAGCCTTATGACCTCACGTTATTCTTATTCAATTATGTTGAATTTTTCTAATACTGATAAATAATTATGTGAAAAATGATTATGATCAAAATAAATTATTTTTGCACCCTTATATATATTTTTATTTTTTTATAAAATTATCACTTGACCCCTCCGAGAACTAAGGCTGGTTCTACCCCTGACTGCAAGCTAACTCTGGTCTCGCCACAAGTAACCAACCAGCTGTCATAATCATCATCACCACCGTTGGACGTTAGTCATCACCACCACCACCACCACATATGCCGATCACTACCACCGCAAACCACTACCATCACTGAGATACACTTCATTCATTTTATTTTAAATTAGCCAAAAAAATAATCTCCTACTTTTATTTTTACCTTCATCCAATTAATTCAAACATTTCAAATATATTTCCATTACTTTTATACTATATTTTATTTCCCTCTATATTCTTTTTTCAATAAACCATTGGCCGGGGGAAGCACTAATCAAAATTTTATTGTTAAAAATATCAGATACAGTAACAATAAATATGAAGGCACTAAGAAATTCAATGGAATATGCTTTATTTTCTTATTTTCTAACATAATTGTCCTTATTTGATAGCTAAAGTTAAAAAATATATATTAAAAAGATGCTGTTTATCATAATCTCTTCATAATTTAGACTAAAATCACCATAAAAATAAGAATATTAAGCATCTTCTTACGTTAAGTAGCAATCAAACAAATAAGAGGACATCACATACAAAACGTGTCGCTTGTTGCGGCCAATGCTAACGTAAACATATTTTTCTCATCACTTTCTTTATAATCCAAATCATATATGGTTTCAACTTTAGAAAATTCAATGAAAAAATATACAGACCGAACAAGTGGCAGTAAAATATTCAAAATTTTGCTTACGCTTCCTTCCAACCTTCGCCGCATTCTTTCCACACACACACTCTCTCTCTCTCTATCTATCTACCTCACCAAACTAGCTTAGTCTTTGGTTCCTCATTGGAAAATGATGCAACTCATTATGATGTAATAACTAATGCTGAAGGGGGATAAATGATAAAATATATATTTACCTAAGGCGTGTTTTACCGGTGGAAAAATTTCCATCCGAAATCTGTTGGAAATACTAGTTACCGACGGATTTTAGTCATTTTCAGCAAAAAATGACCACTGAAAAATACAGTTTTTCTTGTAGTGAATGTTAGCCAAAGTTGTGGATAAAGAGTATTGATACATCATCAAAAAATCATCATAATCGGGCCCGAACCTCGAGGCAAAATCAAGTTGGAAACTTCTGAAATTCAAATTGGGACCATCGGAACTTTGATTTCCGCAAACTTACAATCAAGCTGAGTGTCTCGAAATTACAAACCCAACGACACCAAAATCAAATCAATCCGAGCCCAAATGAGTTCAAATCAAGGACTTGAAGTGTTGTTGGACGGTTCAAACCACAATTTGGATTACCAAATAGTTTCCAAACATGACATGCTTATAGTCGAATCGAGTGACTCGACGAGATGAATCCAACGAGACTAAAATCACTGAATTCTAAAATCAATAAGACATTAAAATGTATAGTAAACAGTCTATGATCAATAGAATCAACATCGGTCGGCCATCCAAACCACTACAACTTACCCCTGATCTTTCATCTATTTACAAGCCATGCCACTCTAGAAAATCTATAAATTGAGTCCCCCTTTCTCAAGAAAAAGGACACCCAAAGAAAAGAATTAAGAGAGAGATCGGAGATCGGTCTTGCCTCCTTACTCCTCCTCGACCACTGCCCAGACATTCGTCAGACCACCACCTGATGTCGGAGTTCTGTCGGACCACCACTCGATGCTAGAGTTCTATCGGACCACTGCCATGTGTCGGAGTTCTGCAAGACCATCACCTGATGCAAGAGTTCCGCCAAGCCACCGCCTGAAGCTAGATTTCCATTGGGACCATTTCCTGACGCCGGACATCCGTGGAAACACCACCCGACGCTGGAGTTCTACTAAACCACCACCCGACGTTAGAGTTCTACTAGGTAGTCATCTAACGCCGGAGTTCCACCAGACTACTGCCCAACGCCGGACTTCCGTTAGGACTACCACCTCACGAATGAGTTTTGTTGGACCACCACCCGACACCGGAGTTCTACTGGACCACTACCCGACACTGGAGTTCTGCTAGACCACCACCCGATGAAGGAGTTCCACCGGACCACTACCCGGTGTCAGATTTTTATTAGGACCACAGCATAATGTCGGACTTTCGCCTGACACTGGACTTCCGTTGGACCACCGCCTGATGTTGAATATTCGTCGAACCACCGCCTGATTCCAAAGTTCTATCAAACCACCTTTAGACCACCAACTGATGCATGAATTTTTGTCTGACCACTGACAAAATTCAGAGTTCCGCAAGACCACCGAATAATGCTTGGACTTTTGCCGGACCACCGCCTTACAACTACAATCTTTCCGACCCCTATCTTCTCCTGATTATGGTCCATCTAACGTCTGTCTCCTACTATGGTCATTCTCACCTCCATCACTAGATAACAGTCTTTCTTAGCACTATCTCCTGACGACAATAATCCTTTTAACCTCCGTCTCCTATTATGATCCTTCCGACCTCCATCGCCATATAACAATTTTTTCTGACCTCTATCTCCTCTCGACTATGATCCTTCTGACCTCATTGCCTACTATGATCCTTTCGACCTACATCTCCAGATAACTATCTTTTTTACCCTATCTACTCCCGACTATAGCCCTTTCGACCTTCGTTGCCTACTACAGCCCTTCTGACCTCCATCGTCACATAACAATTTTTCTGACCCCTATCTCTTGCTGAATATTGTCCTTTTGACCTCCATCATATACTATGGTCCTTCCAACCTCCATCACTAGAGAATGGTCTTTCTGACCCCTATCTCCTACCGACTATGGTCTTTCAGGCCTTCGTCGTGTACTATGATCCTTTCAACCTCCATCGCTAGACAACGGTCTTTCTGACCTTTGTCTCATGCTGACTATGATCATTCTGACCTCCGTCACATACTACAGTTCTTCTGACCTCCATCGCCAGACTATGATCTTTCTGACCCCTATCTCCTATCAAATACGGTCCTTCTGATCTCCATCTCCTACTATGGTCCTTCTGACCTCCATCGCCAAATAATGGTCTTTCTGACCACTGTGTCCCACTAACTATGGTCCTTTCGACCTCCCTTACTAGACAATGGTCCTTCTGACCACTGTCATCATACTACGGTCTCGAACCTCCATCGTCCAACGACTTTGGTTTTCCCGACTAAACGAACATTTTAATATTAATCCTTCCAATTCCTACCAAGTAATATGATATACATTTGATACATTAACCCAAGGCTTTCCCCCCAAGGAAAGTCCTCATTTGTGATTGACTGCAAATAATACTAGATTCATTCAAACTGGGCCAAATTCCATGAATTTTCCCCCTTTTTAGGGGTTTTCTACGTAAAAACTTTGGTACTCTTATGAATACTACACCCACTCTTTTATCTACTTATGTGCTGGATTTTCGTACAAAGCTAAGACATTAAATTTTATATTTCTTTACCGCGGCGAATATTCCAGGATGCAACAAGTATAAAGATTTATAAGTGAAATAAAATAAGTTAAAAGAGTAAGAGAATTAGGGAAGTGAATTCAAATAAAAGGGTGAATCGAATAATGTTACAGAGCAATAATTATGAATGAAATTTTCTGAGTTTTTTTTAGCAATTTTTATGTATATTACTATTAACCTCGTCTTTAAAGACAATAATAGAGATTTATAGTGCAAATTAACAATGTGGAATAATTAACTATAAAATGAATAAATTAAATCCATTGTAGCTAGTTGTATGTTGTGCGAATTAGGTCTAACATTAGCTTTCAAAAAAGTTTATTCGTTTCATATTGGGAGTCGAGGTAGAGCTAACTCTAAGGATACTTGTTCAAAATGTGGAAGTGTTACTCAAGACTTTAAACAAATTTTGAATTATAAAAGATTTAACCACCCCAGTGAAAGTCATGAAAAATTTCATAGAAGTCAGATAACGAAATGACAATGGAGCCTGTTGATTAGCCAACTTCTGAGATAATTGCATTTGAAATTTGTCTCGGTGATTAAGAAACTACAAGGGTATGCATGATTGCCATTAACATTGACGATTAGGCCCCAATAACCCAAAGTCAAAAGTTGGTGTTAGCATGAGGATGATATACGAAAAATGATTGATGATCCTATTGTTAAAGCTAAGGAGAGTATTCCAAGAGAGGTGAAGAACAATGAGGATATATGTTGATAATGAAGGATTTATTATTGATGCCAAAAACATGTATAATCAAGTTGAGGAAGTAAACCACAAGACTGTTGAGTACGATGGGGTTTTTGATTGAAAAGAATTTGTAGCTATTATTAAAAGACTATGGACTCAAAGTTGAATAGCTCAAAAGTAAAGTCACATGAGGGAGAACTTGGGATGATGATACCTAAGGCTAGAAGATTTCATACACTGCTCATTGATATCTGTTGCGGGCTAGAAATTACGCGGCGATAGAGATTTGATTCTACGTCTTAGCGTTGAACGTATAACTAGCACACGCAGAGAACACAAGATTTTTTACGTGGAAAACCCTTAAAAGGGAAAAACCATGAGGCCTAGCCCAATCGGCTTAAATTAATATTTCAAAAAAGTTTGTGACCATTTTGGTTCCTCATAAAAAGTTGAGGACCTATTTTGATCTTTTTTATATTCTAAATTGACATCTTAAAAATAAATACGACCAGCTAGTAATGCTTTAAACTTCTTCAATTAGTAAGATCGTAACTTCATATTTCTAATCTAAAATAGTTTTTTTTTCTTTTATATCTTTATTAATTTAAATTATTATCATATTAAAGTCTTCTGAACAACAAATATTGGTAACGGACCATTGAAAATAAATCCCCTTTTCTTCCCCGATATAAGAAAACCCCCTCCATCTTACTCTTTTGAACTCACTGGAAAAAAATATGGAGGTCATGCCAAGATCGCCGGAGTTCCACTTCTCCACCGCCTCCAACACCACCTTCCCCTCAAGCCCACCTCTGTTTGGCGAACCCTTCAACTACCAGCGCCACTTTACCAGCGCGCCATCCAGCCCTAACCGCGCAGCCGCTGCCATCTACCCCCACTTCTCCTCTGACTTCTCCTTCAGCTCCGGTGACACGCCGGAAATCTCCACCGCCGACAAGCTCTTTGAAAAAGGAAAAATCCGACCTTTACATCATCCTCCACCGATCGCGGCTGCCTCCTCCCCACAATCCGGTGAAAGAGGAAGGAGAAAAAATTCCCCTGCTACCAATTTCGGAAACAGATCAAGAGAAACCAGATCTCTTTCTCCACTAAGAAATCACTCCTTCTTCATCAAAAACTCAACTTTCACCTCCTCGTCCTCCTCCGCCACCGCCACAGCCGGCGTCGGCGGCGGGAACTGGAAATGGAGGCTTAAAGATTTGCTTTTGTTTCGAAGCGCATCGGAAGGGCGGGCTACAGGTAGAGGAAGCAGAGATCCTCTTCGCAAGTATACTCTGCTTTCTTCCTTCACTTCTTTCTCATCAAAGAGTAAGAAGAAAGGCGAAGAAGAAGAAGATTCCAAATGTGGAAGCTTTAGATCGACGGAAAGCGCAGGAGGATCGATGAGAAGAGGTGGCGGACAGCCGGCTTCCGCCCATGAAATTCATTATACGGCCAACAGAGCAGCGGCTGGGGAGCAGAGGAAGAAGACTCCTTTGCCCTATCAGAGGCAGGGTTTGTTCAGTTGCTTGCAGTTCAATCCAGCCATTCGCAGCATTACTAAAGGATTCAATAGTTTCTCCTGACGGAGATCTTCATGGCTAATCAGATTAATCTTTTTTTTTTTTTCAAATTTGTATGTTTGTTCTGTTTTATTTAGTGGTTTTGGGTGTTTGAATAGCAATATGTGAGATAAAGGAATTGAGTGAAGAAGGCTACTTAAATTGTAATTCTGATCTGAGTGATGTAAATTTCTAAATTTTAAGCTGAAAATAGATTTTTCAGAACATATATATAATATTAAAATTATATATAGATATATATATA